GGAGCTGTGGTTGGATCTGCCTGAGCTGCAATGTTCCAGCCCACCTGCACAGGGAGATGTCACTGAGCTGTTCTCAGGTGTCTCAGAGGCTGCACCAGGGAAATGGGATTCTGTCCATCARTATCTGTCCCTAACAACGGTAAATAAAGAGAAAATGAGACAGAATTGTCCCGTGAGGGGCCGTACCAAAGTCAGACCTTTTTGTAGGCTCAGCCCAGTGACRGTGCTCCCAGYTGTGTGAATTCTCCTCTGAAACCCWGGCTATTCCAGGAGCTGTGTGCTCCAAAAGGCAGCCCAAGGAAGGGGTCAGACATTGTCCATCAGCTGCACAGTTGTCCCAGTTATTTGTTTGAGCTGTTTTCCCAGGATGAATGTCCATGGCCTCAGCATCACCGTGTCTGTGCTCACCAGGGCTGTGTGCACACCCAGCGAGSGGCAGGGCTGTGTTTTYCCTTCTCTCCCCATCTCTGCCTCATTTGTTTAAATTTTAAGGGGCAGGGCTGCTCTCAGCCACAGTGTTTTCCCTTCTCTCCCCATCTCTGCCTCATTGTGTTTAACTTTTAAGCCTTGTTTGCTAACCTTGCTAGTCAAAACAGGGTTTTATTTTTCTTTTCCAGAATGTGCAGGGTTAGTGTGAGTAGTTAAGAGCAGCGAGCTGTCCTCCTTCCACAGCATCAATACCTTCCTTGCCAACAATAATTATTCTGCATGRGGAGTTTTTCCTCTTATCTGCTGATGCATTCAGGGTGGTGATGCTGTCAGTGATGGAATACGCCACCTCTTGATGTTTCCTGGATTTTCCTCCCATGCCATGTTTTGGATTACGAGATTAGGAACAGATTCTTTGCCTTTGTCTGCAAATCTGCTGCAGCTGCCCTTCAGCATGGGGCCTGGCTCTGGCAAACACTTTGCAGCCCATTTTTTTTTTTTGCACAGTGGCTGCGTGCCAAGCTTTAACTCTCAAAGGGTATTTCTTCTCCACCAGCAAATGAAGTTTCAACTTCTTACACAGCAAAGCTTTTGCTTGGATGAGCCCAGTGATCAGAGAGGAGCCCTAACAGGAACAGGGCTCAGCAGAAACATCCTCAGCAGCTCTGTCTGCAATAGAACCTTGGGGATTTGGTGCCTTCACAGCTCCAGCTCTTGTCCAGAAATGCTCAGAACATGCAAGATTAAACAGTTAATGCTGCTGGGGAGAAAGGGAGCTTTCTCTCCCTGCTTCCCTAAATGTCTGTTTCCTTTCCTTAATCTCTGGTACTTCCCTCAGGTGACATAGGGATCTCCCTGAAGATTAATGCACCCCTAGGTTTGATGRGGAACGTGAGAAACTCATGTGAAAGATTTAAAATCTGTCCTCACTTGGGCCAGGCTGGAGGCCTTTACTAATAAACTTGGTTTTACCAAATTCTTGGGGGTCCTGGAAACTGAATTCAGTTTATAAACTACTCTGTGAATAGGATTCTATTGGGAGCTCAGTCCTGGCTATCAGCTCAGCAGGAACCAATCCCAAACATTCTCTTTTGTGGTTTCCAATCTTCCACTTCACCAGCAGCCCTGCCCGTTCAGACTGTCTGTGGGAACAGGGCTGTGTCTCTTCTGAGGGTGGGCAGGAGGGTTAAACAAACCCTGACTTGAAAACTCTGAGCTTCTCCTGACATCTGGAAGGTTTCAGGGATATACRTCACCTTTAACTCCCTTTGGTAAATCAGTCCTGCTTCAGAAAGTTTTTCTGTTGTGGTTATCAAGTTGTTCTCCTGCAATTTTGATATTTTCTCCAGGTGATAAATGGTGGATTGGATAGGGAGGGTAGAYAATGCACTATCAGAACATTTTGCAAGCATTTCCCTGTTCACAATGAGTCACTGACATCCACATCTCTGTTTTTYGTTCCCCTTCCCTCACCCCAAGTTCTCTCAGCTCATTAAAATCTTCAACTCGCTGGGTCCTGAGAAGTTTCCCCTCGTGGAGCAAACGTTCTTCCCAAGCCATAAGCAGATGGTGAGTAACTTTGCTTTCTTCAGTAAMTGGGGCCAGTGTGGATGGGGCACAAGAAATGGGGTGGGAATGCTGTGAAGAGTTTAAATTTCACTTATAGAGAAATGCTGGCTAAAAGGTGCTATGCAAAAGGCACTGCTTGGGAACTCTTTCCTTTTTGGCCAGCCCTTCCCTAGGTCATGTAAGGACCCTGAAAAAATGTACAAAGAGGGTCAAAGGCTCAAAACKAAAGCAGAGCTCCATTGTAAAACGTGGTCAGCAAAAAGCTCATCCCTTAGAGCAAAGGATCACTGTTCAGATAAAGAGGATTTTCCCCACTCCTGGGATTGTTTAAAATCTGTTGACAATTTGGGACACGGTCTGAGGAGCTGTTTGTTTCACATTTTCAGTTTGCTTGGTCTGTCCCGTGCTCCCCATCCATGAAACACTGCTCAGCCTGAAGGTACTCAGAGTACTTGAATTTCACACAATTCACAATTTCACACAATTTCACACAATTTCGCACAATTTCAGTTTGCTTGGTCTGTCCCGTGCTCCCCATCCATGAAACACTGCTCAGCCTGAAGGTGTTCACAGTAACTCAGAGTTCTTGAAAGGGTTTGTTTCAGCTCCTCATGTTTTCTTTGCACGGTGCTCTGGGGTCTGTGTTTCTGTCAACAGCTCAACACTCAGTGCCCTGTGTGCTGCTGGGCACTGCACCAAACTCTTGGGGCACCTTCCAAAGAAATCTGTGAGGTGCCTTTAGTCCCGAGGAGCACGGAAAGAGGGGCTTTGTTTAGAGCTGGTCGTGGCTCTTGTTTTCCCTGTGTTCAAAGGAAGACTGGTCCTGTGTGAATTTTGGTCCCAATTTCCATCCATGAATTAGTGTTTCTCCTCCATGAGGCTTTGGTGAAACCCTCATGAACCACGAGCTGCTGCGTGACCCCTGAGCTCATTTCCAGCCTGACTGAGCCTGGGCAGCAGTGCCAGCCTGAGCTCAGGGCTGCTGAGATGGCAAAAAATATCCAAACCGCTCTGTCTGTGAGCCAAGCACAACACCTAACAGGGTCAAGGTATCTGCTATATCTTGTGAAAAATCCCACTGCTTGCTAGAGACCCAAATACCTGGAAATGGCAGTCCTTCACCTCTCTGTTCCAATCCTCTGCTCTGCCCCTGTGCTGAGCACACCTCAGCACCTCCACATTCACTGGAAGCMCTGCAGGTAAGCTATGGAGCTGTATGATCATTTAAGGCATAAAGAAATGCATGGTTCTCAAACACTGTGACATTTTGTTGCACATTKATAAAATTAATTAGTTGATGATACCTGTTGCATCTAATTCCTAATGATTTATGAAACTTTTCTGGCATATGTAATGTTTCTGGACAGATATGACTTTGGCCACCATTTTAAGTGTGCTATTTTTGGAGGAYTTGATAAGGATTATTGTTTCAAGCAGGTTAGCTAGCACTTTCAGCAATATTTTCTTGTCTGGAAATTGATTCTTGGTTCCTCAGGTGTAGATGCATTTGGTATCAGCACAGTAATTTGGTCCAGCGTTGATCTTAATTTCACTTATTTTCCATCTTTAAAACTAAACACTTACTTGGAGATGCTATTAATTACTTCCTAAAGGGTATAGGAACTTKTAAACTGTAGGTATGGAATGTTTATAATGAGTGTTGTGGTTTTATCTCTCTGCAATGGGATACACTTTAAATACTTCAGTTCTCATATAAGAGACCCTCATCCTTCTATATCCAAAATTTTCCAGAGTTTACTTTCTAAGCCTTTGGATTAAACAGAGGACAGATTCAAAGATCTGCTTCATTCTTTCATCTGTGTAAAGAATGCAGGTTTTTCCAAGAGTAAAAGTGAGATATGGGAATTTTCTAACAGTAGGTCCATCTTTGTGAGCATTTAACTRAAAATGCTTTTTCTGAAGCTTTTTTCTCACGAGAACAGAGCATTTTTAATCAGCCTCAAGCAGTAGGCCAAAAGAGAGGACACAGGATTGTGACATTTCACAGCAGAGAAGATCAATCTCCCTTTGCCACGGGCACATACCTTTCAGAGCTCCCCACAATAATGAGTTTTCTGGAAATAAAAGCAATTTGGCAAGTGTTGTTCCAAGGCCCTACTGKGCTACAGGCAGCCCTAATGATTGCTCTGTACTGACCTCCTATGGCCAATTAACAACTGGGACTCATTAACTTCAAAAGGGATTTTTCACCTCTCCTGGGCTTATGACCACAGCAGCAATTCTTAGAGRGATCAACCTCTTAAAAAGAGGAGATGGTTCCTGGAGGGATCTTTGGCAAAGTGAAGCATTGCCAGAGGTGGAATATCTGCTTTGGGACCAATAAATGCTATCAGGAAAGGGAAGGAAATGAATAAATCCAGTTGCAAATCCATTTGTGTACACTTGAAGTTGACAGAAACGAATGTAAGTGAAGCAGAGACAGAATGTCTGTGATAGAAATAAAACCACTTTACTGTTTAGAATAAAAGGACACTATAAAAAGTGAACATTATGCAACATTACCTTAAAAGACAATATACATTCACTGAATATAAAATTTATAAATAACATGGAGGAAAACTGTAAACAGTGCTAGAAAATTTAGCAACAAATACATTCCTTCTGGACAAGATTTTTCACATGGGTTTGGTTCTCTCCCCACATTTCCATGACTATCAGGAACAGCAGAGGGGCTCGATGAAGGAAGGACAGTAGCAGAGAGAAGGAGAAGCCAGTACAAGCAAAACAGCAGCAAATGTTCAGTGGGTTTTTATGCTTTTTCTCAAGACTGGTGGCCCCAAAAGTCACTTAATTCTAAAAAAGACAAAAACTTGTGGCGGTTCCCTAAATTTTGTTCTGTAAAGGGCAGTGTAAGTGAGCAGTACTTTCAGAGGCAGCTGCAGGATGGAATTTTGTTCTCGTGGAGCCCTTTTCTTCCAACAGTTTACTGTAAAAACTGCAGCAGTGTGTSTCCTGTCACTGTGAGGTAGCATTCCACTCTGACAAATTTGAATGGGATACAATGATAGATTCTGGTTTTGGAACAGTCCAACCTAAAGGGACTAAAGGTGTAACTCTTCAAAACATGGGAATTTCGGACCTAAAAATGGCATTTTTGTCCCATAAGGGGAGGGGAAAGCCTCCCACAAGAGGACTTTATTCAATATGCACAGATCTGCTCCTGCTCTCTACCCCCTCCACTCTGGAAAAGGAAAATAGAATCAAATATTTCCCAAACTGTCTATACATATTTTTGTAATATTTTAAAGGGGAAAACACTCTCCCGCAAGTAAGGAAAAAATATGCATAAATCAGAAACTGAACGGTTTCAGTCTAGAAATTAGCTGTGCACTTTAAAAAGTGCTTTTAATAATGTTGGTGTATCTAAAGCAGGGAGTGTGTGTAACCCTGAACACACCCAAAGGTCCTGCTCACAAGAGCTGAGAACTGACAGCTCTCTGAGCTCAGGTTCTGGGTGAAATCAGGAGATGTTTGTGCTGCTGCCAGGCACTGAATGAATGCTCCATGAGGCTCATTCATCCCTCATCTCCATTCTGATGTTCCACACATCTCACTGCCTGCTGCCATCAGGAGCAGCTCTGGCCATGGGCACATTCACAGCCGTGTCCACGAGTGACTTAG